AAATGTACACTACCAGTGGACTTAAAAATAAAGCGGATGTGACGCAAAAGCCACTAAACGAGTAACATATTTTTGAGTGCACTAGCGCGAAATTTCACCTCAAATTACTTTTCATAGGCCGCTGTTTGTTAAGGAATCGCGCTAAGGCGATCATTGAGGAGTCATCCAGAAGTGCGCTTGAAGTCAACGCCAGCAAATCTACTATGGACTCGTCACTAAATGGTTATGTTTTAGTGTACTCTATACCAATCCATTTGCCTCTGTTTTACAAGAAAACTTATTCTTCGAATTTGTTTTCACCGTTTGTGGCATCTTCCGCCCACGGATTAAGGCAGCCAACAGCGCAGCCGTGCATACATGTAATATCTGCAGTGTGCCTTATTTGTTTCAAACGTATGCAGGTTCTTAAGCATGTAGAATGCATGTGATCTACTGTTATAACAGAAAGAATTGACGCCTAGTGACGCCAAGATATTGACATTTTAGTTTTATTCAATGGCCACAATAACTGAAATTTATCACACTATACAAAATTCCAGAAGCAAAAAAAAAAAACTGCGGACACTCCCAGCGTTATGGTTTCCTTTTTTTTTGCAAGAACACCTTGGCAAGTTATCGCTACGTATACATGCCAACGAAGACATGCGCCTTGTACCGTGATAGATAACTTGGCAGTCTGTTCACCATTAACGCAAATAGTAGACACTGCATGCTCAAGAAGGAAAGCGGGCTGCAGAAATGCTGATGGATGAGAGTCCAGCGAGCATGCATTCTGAAAAATTGTTCTTGTTTCTTATCCACAAAACATAAGTCACCAAGCATGCGTTTGTTGCTGCTTCATTCTTGCACAGCACATCTTTTCCACAGCTATCGACAAAAGAACTTGGCGTTAAACGTAATTCGCATTGTTCAGATGCACTGAAGCATAGCTCGGCATACTCACTCGTAAGTACACTCACTCACGCTCAATCATACTCAATTGAACGTAGTGCGTGTAAGTATGAATGAGTACTGATGAGTGTGAGTAGGAGTGAGTAGAACGTGAGTAAGTACACATGAGTATGAGAAGATTATGAATGTGAGTGAGTACTTTCAGTTAGAGTATAAGTGAGTATAAAGGTGAGTGAGTACTCATAAGTATGAGTAGGAGTGAGCATGAACGTGAGTGAATACTTTGAGTGTGAGTATCAACGTGAGTGAGTAATCAGCAGTGCCTGTATCAGTGAATATCAGCGTGAGTGAGTATTCATGAGTGTGAGTAGGAGTGTGTGAGAGCAAATGAGTGTGAGTGTGCATGAGTGTGAATGCACGTGAGTGCGGAGGTGAGTGAGGGCCTATGATCTTGAGTAGGCGTGAGTATGAAGGTGAGTAACCATGAGTCCTAATTGAGGTGCACAAAAAATTGAAGTACAAAAGGGAGACACCTGTGCACGGTGCGCTGAGTCCAGGTGTCTTTTTTTGTACTTCGATTTTTTGAGCACCATAGTTAAAATAAATTACCAACTCGTTCAGCAGTCCGCGCTTCTCTAACTAAGAGTTTGAGTAGTCGTGACCATGTACGTGAGTCATGAACAATGAGTGTGAGTAGGCTTGAGTATGAACATGTGTGAGTACTCATGAGTGTGAGTAGTGAGTATGAGCGTGAGTGAGGGCGTATGAGTGTGAGCTGGCGTGAGTATGAACGTGCGTGAGGGTCTAAAGTGTGAGTAGTCATGAGTATGCAATGAGTGAGTACTACTCAGTGTAAGTACCCGTGAGTATGAACGTAAGTGAGTGCCTAGATTTTGAGTTGGCGTACTTTTGAACATGATTGAGTAGCCATGAGTGTGAGTAGGAGTGAGTATGAACGTGAGTGAGTACCCATGAGTGCGAGTATAAGCGAGTATGAACGTGAGTGAGTACTTTCAGGGGCAGTAGAAGTAAGTATAAACGTGAGTGAGTACTCATGAGTGTGAGAAGAGTGAGTATGAACGTGAATGAGTATTCTGAGTGTGAGTAGGAGTGAGTATGAACTTGAGAGAGTACTTTGAGTGTGAGAAGGAGTGAGTATGAACTTGAGTGAGTACTTTGAGTGTGAGAAGGAGTGAGTATGAACATGAGTGAATACTGGGAGTGAATATGAACGTGAGTGAGTAGGAGCGAGTGTGAACAGGCGTGAGTATGAGCGTGAGTGGGGGCCTATGAGTGCGACTAGACGTGAGTATGAAAGTGAGTGCGGTGGCTGAAAAAATTGTGGAGAGTTAGTATGAATGAGTAGTCCCTCAAAGTGCCGACCTATGAACTGAAGACGTTCACCAGCAATAAAACGCCCCTAACAATTTCAGCGCACAACCGAGAACGCAGGCAAGCGCAGAACACTAAAACATGTGAGAGTCTTGGCAGACAAATTTTACGAGAGGGCGTTGCCATGTATACCCATGCAATGTAAAGGCTGCACTGAGTAATAATAGCGTGGGCAGAGGGTGCTGAAAAAGTTTTTCGTAAAAAAAATTTCATAAATTCTTCGTTCATTACACTTACATAATACAGCTGGGGAAAAGAAATCCCATTTGAAAAACTTATTGATTGCTCCGACTTTATTTGATACTTAATTTTTCACTATTAGTGTTTGTTCCCTCCACACATAGACGCACTTCGATCGCAGCTTCCATAGCTCCCCATGCTGATGTCGCTGGCAATAGCTTCCAAATTGCTTTTCGCCCGAGCCTTTGTGACCTATTTGAATGGACCTTGGTGGTGTTGCGAAAGCAAAGCTGCTGTATTCCACAAGTACTACGCAACAAGGTGAGCGCACGCATCCTATCTGTGACGCCACAACGATCGCAGCGCTGGCCTCCCTAGTGGAGGCCTTCGCGGCCAACATAAGTTTTTTTACCGGCACAAGAACATGTGCGTAAACGGGGTAAACGCTGTGTACAGCAAAGTACCGTCAGCCACTAAGCTTTCTGACTAGACTCATTGACTGACGTCCCACATTTACTGGTGAACAGAATGAGAGAAAAAGCAACCATATTCGTATAAGGTGTGAATGGTGGTACTCAACGAATCTCACAGATATGCGGGCTTTCTACGATTTTTCTTTCCTTCTTTTTTTTGTAGTATGCAGATGATGGCGATGTAAATAAGTAATAAATGAGAAGCATTTATTAGCGAACTCCGGCTACTTTGAGGGTATCTATCTATCTATCTATCTATCTATCTATCTATCTATCTATCTATCTATCTATCTATCTATCTATCTATCTATCTATCTATCTATCTATCTATCTATCTATCTATCTATCTATCTATCTATCTATCTATCTATCTATCTATCTATCTATCTATCTATCTATCTATCTATCTATCTATCTATCTATCTATCTATCTATCTATCTATCTATCTATCTATCTATCTATCTATCTATCTATCTATCTATCTATCTATCTATCTATCTATCTATCTATCTATCTATCTATCTATCTTTCTATCTATCTATCTATCTATCTATCTATCTATCTATCTATCTATCTATCTATCTATCTATCTATCTATCTATCTATCTATCTATCTATCTATCTATCTATCTATCTATCTATCTATCTATCTATCTATCTATCTATCTATCTATCTATCTCGCTGCCTTCGACTTTTAGCTCTCCTGGCCGTTTCGTTCATGATATCGATACCAAATTTAGTATGGGATAACATGACTGTATGGCGAGCGTAATCGACTAGTCGTAACGTGACTGTCGTGAAATGTATGTCATGATTTACACTTCATATTCTTGCTGCTCTTGTAGTGTTTTCGTTTATATTACATGCTGCAAAACTGGTATGTTATGACATGGCTGCATGGCGAACACAAGTGACAGACCCTAACGTGGAAATCATGGCATGCATATCACGTAAGTAATGAGTCATGACTACACGCCACGCTCATGGTGCGCTCGTGGTCGTCTCGCTAGGATCACATATGCTAAATTTCGTATCACGTGATGTGAATAGACTACGAAGGTGAATGACATGTTTAAACATTATAATCATGACAAGGAAGTTATGTACGGCCATACTTACGTCCGCCTCGTAACGTTGTGCTTATTTTCAAGTGACATACCACCCGTCTTCAATTGTGCTTCACAGATCATCGATTCTCACTGTACGTGTGCTCTGACATTTTTTTCAGTCACGCTACAGTAGTGCGTAGTAGTTGGAACACAAGCTGAACAGGTACAAGCAACACAGCATTGGCGTGATTTAGTGCGAAAGCGTGAAGCGTCACCCAGGGTGAGCATTCCTGTGAAAGGCAGAATGCGCTTTACTTGTGGGTAACGTTAACGTTCCATAGACGTCATCCATCGATTCAGTTGAGAGGGCGTACATAAAAAGGTGAACTGTAGTCAATGCAAGTTATCCGCCGGCTGAGACCGCAAGCAACGAAGCGCCGCTGCGTGTATTTGTATGGGCGCCGCCGACCGTCTATCCCCGCTTGCGCGGGGATGGTGCTGCCACCTATAGCGCGATATCGCCACAAATAAGTCCACACCTTTTGTTTTTAAGGAGCTAGCAACGTGCACGAACGCTTTCCTTCGCGATGACACCATCCGATACACAGGCCTTCCCAGCCACCCAACAGCGGATCCTACCTGGTCGTCCAACAGCAGATCCTACCTGGACAAAGAGAAACCTGCGCGCGAATGCTTAAGAGGTATACGCGCGTATACAAGCCAGCTGGCTTCCGACAAACCGGGAAGTGGCATTTCATTCACATGCGTCCATCCAGTACCACCGGCCGCTTCTGTCACGACACCCGCGACACGCTATTGTACGCTTCCCAGATTTCATCAACACGCTCCCCACTCCGCGAGGGGTGCCGACACACACTGCGCATAGATCAGCGCCGTCTCGACCAATGCCTGGTATGATACTGCTGTACGCTCCACGACGGCTCTGGTAATGAAATGGTAAAACAAACACACTCTAAAAATGACAGAGAAGAAACAGAAGAAACTAGACTGAGCACTGTCTTAGGACTGATCTTTATTTTGGAACACAAACACATTTATGCCAAGTCGGCCAAATCAGACGTGACTACTACATTATGAAAATGTCTGTCTGACGTCAACGTAACCATTGTGTCACAACACGCGTGTTAATTTCAAAGATATAATATCATTTTCTCTATTGGGAGGGTTTATCTACCAGCACATTTATTTTTGAGGCATGCGATTTAGTCTGATTTGTTATCATCATCAGCCGGACCACGCCTACTGCAGGGTAAAGACCTCTTTCATGAGCCGCCAATCAATCTGGTCTTGTGCTTTCAGTTGCCACGTTATACCCGCAAACTTTTAGATCTCATCAGCCCACCGATCTTTCTGTCTTCCCTTCGTACGTTTGCCTTCTTTGGGAATCCATTCAGTTCCCCTAATGACCACCGGTTATCCTACCAACGCGCTACGTGTCCGGTTCATGTTCAATTCATTTTCTTGATTTAAGCTATAATATGTTTCACCCCGGTTTATTCCCTGACCCACTTTGATCTTTTTTTTTGTCTCTTAAGGTTACACCAATCATTTTCCGTTCCATCGCTCCCTGCATCGTCCTCAATTTGAGCGGAACCCTCTTTGTAAGCCTCCAGGTTTCTGCTGCGTAGGTAAGTATTGGTAAGGTGCAGCTGTTATATACCTTCCCCTTGAGGGTTAGTGGCAGATTACCATTTATAATTTGAAAATGCTGGCTGAAAGTGATCCACTCCATCCTTATTCTCCTATTTATTTCACTCTATAGATTCGGCTTCACGGTTACTACCTGTCCCCAGTAGACATATTCCTTTGAAATTTGCAGCGTTTCTTCACGTACCAGAAAGGGCTGTTTTCTGCTGAGATTGTTGCCTAACACTTTAGTTTTGTGCATAATATTTTCACACCTACTTTTCTGCTCTCCGTGTTCAGTAATCATGAACTGCAGTTCGTCCCCTGAGTTACTCATGAAGGCAATGTCTTCAGCTAATTGCAGGTTACTAAGGTATCATCCACTAACACTTATCCCTAACTCTTCCCAGTCTCGGGTCCTGAATACCTTCTTTAAACCCATGGTGGATAGCACTAGAGAGATCCTGTCTTCCTGCCTTACACCCTTCTTTATTGGGATTCGGTCACCTCCTTTACGGATAACTATTTATGGTGGCTGTGGATCCTCTGTAGATTTCTTCCAGTATGTTTATGTAGGGTTATTCGATGCCCTGATTCCATAGTGCCTGCATTACTGCTGATTTCTCGACTGAGTCAAGCACATTCTCGTAATTTTCCTGGACCATTAAAGTTTTTTTTTGACTTCTGTACAGCTCCCTGTAGAACTCCTCCGACATCTCGACTATCCTATTCATATTGGTTATGACACTGCCTTCCTTGTTTCTCAATGCACACATCTGATTTTTGTCTAAGCCCAAGTCTTGCTTCGCAGCTTTTAGGTTTGTGCCGTTTTTAATAGCCTGATCAATTCTTTCCATGTTATACCTCCTGATGTCCGCTACTTTAAGCCTACTGAATAATTTTGAAAGCTCCAAGCTCTTTTTTGTCGTTAAACACTCTCTAATTCCTCGAGTAGCAAAGCTAGACTATTCTCTCACTAGATATCGGTTTAGCGTTCAAGGTACTATAGTTCAGATACCAATAGCGGCCTCTTCGGACCCAGAGATTCTTAGCACACTCCGCCTGATCTGACCGTCACCTTGGGCAGTTGCTTCTAAGGCGCTGGGGACCAAGTGCCAAGGGTTAATTGCTGTATTCATGGGAGGTTGTGATTAGCTGCTGCAGCAGAGTGGCCAATCCTGCTTCTGGTGAGGCAGTGCATTACTGGGAGCTGGTCGCCAGTGAAGCCAACCGTCAGAGCTCTTTTTTCTTCTTTTTTATTGTTCTTTTTCATCAATTCTGTCCTTACGCATTTAGGTAGATATACAGTTTGGAATGGTTCGACATCTCTATCCCAACCGAATTTCGTCATGGCATGTTTGGCTGCCAAGCTATCTCTATGTAGATGTTCTGTTGCGCTTTACTGGCAATGTAGAAGACCACCTGACCGCCTATATGTTACCAACCTCACCTGGCTCGTAGCTCGCCATATCTTCTTTTCTAATTGTCTTGAAATATAAATTCCCTTCTATAAAAGAAAACAAACCACCTGTGCGGTTTCGAACTTCTGATTTTGCGAGCTTATGCTAAATTAGTGCCTTGAATGACCCTTGTTTTCACGCGTTTGTTTTCTACTAGCTTCTTCCTGTCACGCTCGATATTGACGTTGGTTTCGGCCATGAACAGACATGGATTGGTTCGAATGCAGTTAGAATTTAACGAACTCCTCAATATGCAAGAGTGTGGGCCGCATTGGTCAACTGACGTTGCTGGCAAATGAAAAAAATAGCTAGAATTTCAATGACTATTTTGACATAAGTTCAAGCCTTGCGAGCGTTACGCAATACAAAGCGACATACTGCAACACGCAAAACCTCGAGTATCAAGGCATGTTTAAAAATGCGTGCCGACGCGGATGCATACCCCGACACACGTTAGGTCCCCCGCAAGGTAAACACGTATGATTGTAATGATAACATATAATAAACCCGTAGTTGTTGAAATGAGGACGTTCTGCTATAATGACGCTGTTTTAGGCACACTAACTTATTAGCGCTCAATAAACAAGCGTGCTAATATAATGAACACGGGACAACACTAGGTCCCTGCTTGCGCGCCTTAGGCACGAACGACGCTTCTAGTTAAACGAATGCCGTCTTCGCCCAGCAATTCGTAACCAATATTTATTGCGGCCGCGGCCCCCTTCCCACACTACTGACGACAGGGGTGTGCGTCACTACAACTCAGTTAAACTCCTCCGTCGAATCCAAGCTCTACATGCTCTCCAGTCTTCACACTTCGGACGAAAGGACAAGTCTCTCACACCTAACTGTGCCACACTTTGCTTTTATTTTAAAGATATGATACACACAACCCACGTATACCCGTACACATAGCCGAGCTTAGTGCTTGGATGACCCTCCTTCGCACGTGTTTGTTCTCTCCTGACTCCTTCCTGTCACGCAAGATACTGGCATTGTTGGTTTCAGAGTGTCCGCAATGTCAGAGTTTTGCTGATTTCGAGTGGTTGCATCCATACTTTGGCGCTTCCTGTAAACTGACGATTTGCGCGCACCTGTTCTCCGACAAATCGCCTTCTTCCATGGAATTCCTACGTTAAGCGTAGACTTCGCGGGTGGTTGGAGTGCATGAAAATTGAACGCGAAAAGTTTCTAGCTGCTAAAGAATAGACAGGTGCAACCTTCAAGGCTGCATCGTAATTTGCTGACGTTTTGGGGTAGTAAATAAAAAAAACACTTTGACAAAGAGACACAGAAGAAGGCAGTGGCCCTCAGATGGGAATCAGCTATACGTATTTGTAATCACAACAACGGTTAGCCTAATAACTTAAAAAAAAGGAGGAAAGGTAAGGAGCGTTTATTTCTAGTTTTAGAAAGCGCCGAAAGGAAAAAAGAAATTCGTACAAAAGCAATGTCGCTTTCGCATCAATCAACACAAAGCGTCTGGTTGAATTGCTAGACCCCGATGACTCTTGGCACCCACTCTCGCGCACAACGATAACTTCATGTGACCTCGTCTGCTTCAAATATTTTTATATCTATTGTTTTTTTTTTCTTTGTGTCTGGCAAGGACCTTTTTGAGTGGCGAAACTTTGGTGTGCAGCCACAAGTCGTACAATGAAATTGTGGCTAATTCCTTTTATGACGTTATGCTCATGCTTCTTGAAACTTTTATTTAGGCACCTTCTCGTTAGGACTATACGTATCTCTTTCCAGAAGAGAACGGAATCGAACACACTACATTTTTTGTGCATTCTGCGGTATATAATTTATTGCGCAGAGCTGCTAGTTGCTTGCTGGTTTGTTTACAGCTTTTTTTTCGGCACAGAGAATAGCACTCTGATGTTGACATGCTTCCCTAAGTTCCTCGAGTTATGCGTTATCCAAAGCAGACATCACAGCAAAACGTTGATTTTAGTTGCAATCTGATACTAATTGCTTGTCCTGGTTATTTGCGTTTTAAGAAAAGATTGTGCGGCAGAAATTAGCTGATATGGCGGATAACCCAACACCAATTTCGGAAACTCGAGATGTTTGAGAGTGCTGCATGGTTTCTCCTAACCAATTAGTGGGGACGAATGTTACCTATATTTTCATTTGGTTTTATGGAAAGGGTGCGTTCTCGTCCGAGTATTCTGGTGGAATCGACATGTATGGTTTGACGCAGACTGAGGGCCCCTCGAGACGTTGCAGAGGTCAAGAAGGTATTGTCCTTGTCAGAGAACACTTGCGAGGCACGCACATTGCACTACTTTCTTATGCTATAGAAGTGGGCGTTTTGAACTAACGATGCTAGGATCAAATATATGATGCCTTACGCTATTTACGATTCAGTTTCGGCATTACCAGACACAAAGCGACAAATTACGGTAAAAAAGTCGCAAACGAAACTTTTGCTGTCAGGAGTTTTTTAGAGCGTTCTGGCTGTTTACTAAAGCTCTCTGAAATTAAGTGCAATATAATTTCGTCAGGCCAATAATAAAGCACGTAGAGGCAATAGATCTCTTCGCCAATAGGCCTTTTCGCGTTACGTTTAATTATTTAATTAATTAGTTTATTTACTTATTACATACTGCTGACCTGTTTACCAGGTCTTAAGCAGGAATGAGCATACACAAATGTTTACTGCAAAAAACATAATTGACATCACACAGCATACTGACAGTGTTTACAATTCGACACTTCTGTGTTAATTTACAAAAAACTAAAGAAAAACAATACAACAAAGGCATAGCTTTGCTGACTGAAACGTACTAAAAAATGGAAGCATTGCGTAACTCTGGGCTGCATGACTGTACAAAAAAAACTGTTAGTGGTTATTTAGAGCATGTAGAAATAAATCAACTGTTCGACACTGTACAGCATCGGGTGATAGGCTATTCCCCTCACGGGTAGTTCTTAGAAAAAATGAATACCTGAATGTGTCTGTGCGGTTTACGTAATCTAAAGCTTTCTTTGAATGATGTGAGCGCACAGCATATTCACTTATTTGTCTAGTGTGCACTGTTTGTTGATACCAATTTTGTTGTGGAAAATGAGGTAAAAAAGCTTGAGCCTCTCCATTCTTCTTCTCTCCGCTAGTTTTTCGAGATCCGCTTTAATTAGTAGAAGTGAAGGGGAAGTACGCCAACTATAACAATTAAGCACAAATAGGACAAATTTTCTTTGGACCATTTCTAATTTTTTATTATTGGAGTCAGTAAAGGGATCTCACACTGCAGCTCCATATTCTAATACTGGTCTAATGAAAGCTGTAAATACTGTGTATGTGAACCAACTCATACCAGCCTTAACCTCAGATGACTCTGATAAGCGAGAGCAGAACTGCAGCGTCGCTTAAGGATTACATCACTGGTGGTGGCTACAAAACCAAACCATGGTCAAATTATATGGGTCATAAAATTTAGAAAGTTTCGAAAACCAATTGCCATAAGCATCAACGCCCTACGGCAATTAAAGCGCGACTAGGTGAGGAGAGGCCAAACAACGAGAACTACTAACTCAATGATTTTTTTCAAATTGTAGTTGTAATTTTATATATGTCAAACTTAACCATGAGTTTACTTTACGATTTATCTTTCATCCGGCTAAATAGTTGATTGCCTCAATTTTTGGTCGAGTGCCATGAAGGCAGGGGGGGGGGGGGGGGCGTATCTAGTCAATGTGCTATACGAGCTTGTGTTTTTTTCAGCGCAATTCATTGCGAGCGTTCCGGGCGTAGCTTTCATATTTTATATGTTTGATTGTGTGCTGTTTACTGGTGTGATATTTCAGAGCTGAAGTAGGTAACGTAATCTGTCGATAGGTGCTCTCCGAATTGTCGATTGCCACCGCTGTCGCACAGCCGGCATGCCCTCACTTATGGTGATGGCGAATGCGACACGCTGAGCAACGATACACTGTAATCTACGGTTGCCAAACTGATATTCTCAAGGCTCCTGTCTCGCTGCAGCAATTTTACGTGATTGGGCAACGTTAGTCTTTGAACTGTTATGCATTTGTGCTCGTGAACAGTTGCGTCACAATATCAACGGTGAAGTTATTCGTTATATTGCAAGTGCGCCTCTTCGCTAATAAAACAGCTTTTGTTGTTTAATCTTTCTTGTTGATCTTTCTGTTCTCTCGGGCACGCATTGGGAAACCATATAGCACAGTGAAAATGACGTATTTATAAAGGTATTAAAATGTAAATGGTCGCAGCATCGTGCGTTTGTACTACATGAAGCGAAAGTGATATTTTTCCTAATTGGTGATCACCATTGAAGAAAAAATATCCCTTTCACGCCATGCTGCGCAAATGCACGATGCTGCTATCGCTTCCGGCTATGGCGTCATGTTTAATTTATTTTTGTTAGCTGGTAGTGGTCCTTTTCATACAAGTCGCCAGCTAATGTATACAAGGGCTTCTCCGAAAGTTACGCTACCTGGTGACAATTACCTTGACCAAGCTGCCTAGCTTGGAAGATCGTCAGTATAAATTAGCTACCTCAGACTAGCATAGCGGCGAAATGCTCGCCCGATATTTCTGCTAGTCGAATGAACAGTAATTACGTTTTCATGTTGTGATTGCTTCTTCCATCGAAACGACATTCCACTCCCATTGCAAAAACGGCATCCCCAGCGTAATGCCAATACGTTTTTTTGGCACACGTACACACTGGTATTTACTGGTACTTCGCCGAGCGCACCGGGAAAAAGCTGTGCCGCACTGGCAGGGCCACTGGTTTGACCGCTGTGATGCTGGTGCACACTGGGAAGCGCTGCAACTTTCATTGGCAAGCGCTTGTGAATAATGAGGCACGCACTGTTTCTACCAACGCAGCGTGCACATTTATGTAGCGTGTGACGGGGTATTTTTCGTATCAACGTATTTGGACGTGGCGTAGTTTTTTTTCTTTATTGTTTTTCTTTATTGTGGGCAGAGAACTCGGATAGAAAATCGAAAATGACAAGTTAGAATCCTGTTGCTAGCCATTTTATTTTTTATTTTTATAGTGAATGTGCGCAATATCACATCTTTTTGCTTTTATAATTATTTATTTATGGTGAATGGGCACCCCTGTTTTAACCCTGTGAAGCCATTTTGCGCAGAGTACCCGGCGCTTCCTAGCACTGTTACTGGAACGCTGCCTCTTTAGCCAGCGTCCCAGTACCAGCACGATACTGGGCCCGAAATCGGGCACGGCGCTGGTGTTTGCAACAGGGAAAGCACGTTGATCTTGTGAACACGTGGCTTGAAAGTCATGAGGGTGCAGAATGCTTTCTTTCCTCCTGCGTATTGAAAACTCGGTCTACTCAATCTAACCATCGACGCCAAGAAGGCTGCACATCTTGAACGACAGTGCGTCACTGTAGGCATGGTGAACCGCTTGTCCGCACACCTCTTCTGTTCGTCGCTTGTCCTTACGTTCTTGAAATATTTCAACTCATGAGCGAGGGTCTTGACAAGCTACATTAATGCGTATGACAATACCCTAATCATCATTCAAATAGTAGCTTCAAATTTGTGAGTACTATACGACCTATACAGGTTGAACAAATTGTCGAAAACATCAAAGTTTGAAAGTGTTTTTTCAGGTCCTTTAATCACTCTGCGTTCCACCACTTACGATAATGCATGGCGGGAACAAACGAATGCTGAAGGTTCGTTCTACCGTGGCCGCAATTGCAATGCCAGGTTTCCGACCAATAATTTCGATTAAAACTTTCATGCTTGAAGGACAGGAAAACTCACTACAATTTATTCTGTCTTTGGTTCCCGCGAAGTCAGGTTTGTTGGGATGCTTATAAGCATGTTGAACGGACACAGAATTACCAAAATCTCTGTTAAAGCGTCTTGATAGACATATTTGGTCTCATATTGGCGCTCACATTCTCTAAAACTATACTCAACCATCCTCAGTAGAACGCGGGCTCATGTTGCTTTGCCTCACCCGGGTGCTGTACAAGTCAGTGTAAGTTAGCCGATCAATGTCCGCAGTATTGTTGTGTAAGAAGGGGCCTCCTGTGTTTCTCACAGGGATGGGAGAGGCAGACTAAGAAAATGGCCCATATTTACTCGTATTTATATCATCCGGGAGGACTATATGTAATAAGCTTGTTTCACTATTGGGATTAGCAAAGTCCTGAAAGCATGTATTTTAGGAAGTTGACATGCTTGTTGTTTGGGAAACAGTGATACCGCGGTATACCTTCATTGGCACCTGTCACAGATGAAAATAATGCCGCACAAGAAGGGGCATATTTGAAGCGTAAAGAGGCGATTTTTTTTTCGTGCTCTCGCACCTGGCGTTTCAGTTATACCCTTGATACACAAGCAGCCTAAATCATGGTTATGCTAACTGCGGTCACGTTAACCATGGTTTGCTGATGTTACACGGCACACGAAACCGCGGTTTTCCCGCTAACCGTGATTTTATGAAACCGAGCTTGGCAAACTTAATTAGGCCGATAACTTAGGAAATGGCGGCGTCCACCCTCGATGCTGCGAGGGAGCGAGGCGTTTTTCTGTCGCTGGAATTGCAACATGCGTTTGCAGCTTTCTAGTAGCTGTGTAACACTGTGGTTGGCGCTTCAACGCAATTAACCGTGATTGGCCGTAAGTGCGCTTAGCTTGCCTGTGTGACAAGGGACTTGCTTGAAATACTTGGTCTGGCGTTCACTGAGGGACAAGGAGAGAGCAGAGAACTAACAGGTGTTAGGGACGTCATAGTCAAAATCAAGAAGAAGAAAAGGGCACGTAGCGCGAAATAAGGATAACCGCAAGTCATTAGAGATCACAGACTGGACTCCAAGCGGGTAAGGGGGAGACAGAAAGTTAGGTGGGGAGATGAGATGACGAAAGTATTAAGTGGCAGCAGCAGGCACAGGACCGACTGACGAAACATGGGACAGGCCCAGCAGCGGGCGTAGTCAGGCTGATCATGGTGTTTTGAAATGCTGGTCTTGTCCGGGAGCCAGTGCAGACTACGAAGAATACAACGCCGTTGATGACACTAGTTATCGTGGCAAATGTGGCGCAAAAAATAGTGGCACAACGAACAAAACATTTTATGAAGCATGCATTCAAAGCTCTAATGGGAGAATAAAAAAAGTGAAAGCCAGCCTGTGGCTGCACTAGCCACCATTTATGCACTGTCAGCACACTGGAGGTCCTGCTCCGCCACACTGCTAAGCGACGTGTTGCGCAGCACCTCGGGCTCGGCGCACTCGGCATGGCGCCATATATCTGGGAAGCTCAGCAGAAACCGCAGCTGGCAGTCACACTTGAACGGGTTTCCTGCGTGAAACCAAATGACTAAATATGAGAATTGATAGACAATGATATGTCTAACAAAAAAACGAGGCCTTAAATTTAGACTTCTTTCTTTCTATACTACCGGGTATTTTTGAGAACGGCAAAATAAAGCAAGTCTTGCACATGCTGTGGGAGTGCCCGACGCCGTACAAACGCACTAACGCCACGACCCTTTCGTCGAAGCTTCATGAGGCTCTGCGGAGCCCCGCTCTTTACGACCAAACCTGAGCGATCCAGCACGCCCGTGAGGTGGCGCCGAGGCAAGTCCTTGACGTCCCCTCATGGGAAGCCTAGGCCTGGCCACCTAAACCTGCTGGTTTCTTATAATGAAGTTTATTCCCCCTCCTTGAATAAATAGTGAACCTCGCACTGGAAGAACAATCACACAGAGAAACACAAAAAGAGACCACGGGTGCCCGTGGTGTCTATGTGTGTTTCTTTCTCTGTGTGGTTGTTCATTCGACGTGACGTTGAGTATTTAATCAAGACATGCACCAACCAGCTCCACAGTGAGTTCTACTAAAACTGGTCTCCTTTTCGTGGGCTGAATGTGGCAGTTAGCTACCCCGACCATTACAGAAATTGAAAGAAGAAGCATGCATAGCAGCAAGCTATAGCTTTCACCTCCGAGGCATTGGGAAAACAAAAGGCACAAGGAGACCATCAGCACACACTGCGGCACTCATAATATTTCGGGCATCAAGAAGACAGTGTTATAATGCAGAAATATGGCAGTGTGCACAAAAAGTTCCAGCCAAATCTGAAAAAAATTGGGATTTTATGAGTGCAACTGTCTTCCAAAAGTGTCATGCTAGAAGCTTTGAAATTTCGGGCATGGGAATGGGGTGATTCGCTGGTGCCATGAGTGGCAACGGTTTCGCAACAAGAAATTCATTGTATCGGAAAAAGAAACAAAATGAAAGAGTTCAATGTAACCTACACCTATCCTAAATTTTGCAGCAATTGACGTCTCAAAACTCTCTCATAGTGAGAATTGATACGTAGGGTTTGAGGCCGTATAGTGTGCATTGCTTTACCACGACCTTTCAGGGACATAATAAAAGGATGCCACAATCTATGTAAACTCGACTTGCTTTGAGAGCAGAAGGACAAATGTTGGGAAACAAGAAAAAGCGGAAATTCGTGAGTTCATGAAGCCAATATATAGACATACCACACTGCGCCACGACGAATAGCACAATACCAGGATTCCTTTACGATGATACCGCTACAGCTGTGTAAAAAAACATTTCATTTGTAAGAAACGTCACTAACTAAATTTACGCCATAAACGGTTGTACACTTCTATTTTATTGATTGATTTGTGGTGTTTAACGTCCCAAAACCACCATATGATCATGAGAGACCCCGTAGTGGAGGGCTCCGGAAATTTTGACCACCTGGGGTTCTTTACCGTGCACCCAAACCTGAGCACACGGGCCTACAACATTTCCGCCTCCATCGGAAATGCAGCCGCCGCAGCCGGGATTTGAACCCATGACCTGTGGGTCAGCAGGCGAGTACCTTAGCTACTGGACCACCGCGGTGGGGCTACATTTCTATCTTAGCTTTTTGCGTTTCGTTGTATCTCATTATAGCACGAACAAAATATGATTACGGGAGTAACGCGTAAAATGTCCCAGGCAAGGTAAAACTAGTGAAATAAAAAGAAAAATAACAATATGAGATCATCTTACGCCAGCGACAATTGATCAATGACAATGAAGCATATTAAGGAGCCATTATCGATAGGTGCGTACCGAAGCGAACACCACGGCACGAGTGATTCACAGTATGATACATCTCCATCTTTTATTTTACAAGCCATAAAAAGTACATTTTTTAGGGTAAACAGCGTGAAAAACGAAGACAGAGAATTAGGAAGACACAGGGCAAGCCCTGACTTTTAACTGAAAACTTGAATGAAGAAAGATCACATATACACAGTTATTCGCGCATGTTCTTGCATGGGGAGAAAACTAAACAAACTAAATAAGCCGAAATGACTACCGTAGACACGAGGCATCTTGCCCTAACAACGTGAGTGTGAATACTTTAAAAATGATAATTTTTTATCAAGGAGAGCGATTGACGGTTCACTGAAGCAGTTTTTGCCTGATTTTTGAATTCTGTAGGCTTCAAAAATTTCCCTTGTCAGCTGCTCCCGGTGGCCGAAAAGAACCTTCGTTCTCGTAAAGTCAAGGGTGCATCCACAGTTTCGACAGTGCGTGACCAAGTGTTTCGAAGGTGCGATACCCCGAAGGGAATTTTGGTGCTCCCTCAGTCTATAGTTCACACATCGCCCCATCTGGCCAATATGCACACGGGAAGAGTATGCTGTACACAACTCCAACTGCACACTCTAGAAACATATTGTTACGTGAAAAATAACAGTAGTCAGTCTACAGCCTCAGCGCAGCTCACCGACAACATCCACTTCTTCACTCTCAGTCTGAGGCACCTTTCTTGGGTATGTCCCGCTATGCCCTGTTTCAGTCAGCTTAAATCACGTAACACGACCCCTGGCGGCAAAAGCGCCAACCTGGCGAGTTTACGGGGCCACAGCAGGAGCAGTGTGATAACGCTTGAGCCTTGATACGTACGATGTCTCTTGACAGCAGAGCAGAAGAGGTTGATGGATTATAAGGGACAATTTCATATGTAGTGTTGGTCACGCGTCTAAGCACACGGTATGGGCCCGTGAAACGAGAGAGTTTTTCTGAAAGGCCTGCATGTCGCGTAGGGGACCACAGAAGAACGAGGGAACCTGTTGGAAAGTGTTCGTCGCGATGCCGCTCGTCGTAACGATGCTTCTGCGAGTCTTGGGACGCCATTAATCTGCTACGGGCAAGCTGACGAGCATGGTCAGCTCGGGTAATAGCGTCGCGTGCATATTCAGAAGTAGACTGCGCAGCCGTTGGCAGGATCCAACGGCAATGTTGGTTCGCATTCAAACAGAAGGTAAAATGGCGAGTACCCAGCAGTGTCATGCCGAGAGGAATTGTATGCGAACGTCACGTAGGGTAGTGCAAGGTCCCAATCACGATGGTCGGCCGAGACGTATTTCGATAGCATGTCTGTCAGGGTGCGGTTTAAACGTTCTGTAAGCCCGTTTGTCTGGGCGTGGTACGATGTCGTGAGCTTATGTTGGGTGGAGCAGGAACGCAGGATATCGTCAACCACTTTCGAAAGGAATGTACGGCCTCGGTCTGTCAGCAGTTAACGAGGGGCTCCATGCACTAAAATGAGATCGCGTAGTATAAAATCAGCGACGTCTGTAGTGGTGCTCGTTGGCATGGCTCGCGTAACTGCGTAACGGGTCGCGTAATCTGTAGCCACCGCGACCCACTTGTTTCCGGAGGCGGATGTTGGGAAGGGACCGAGAAGGTCCAAACCAACACGGAAGAATGGCTCCGATGGGATGTCGATGGGCTGAAGATATCCGGAAGGGAGTCCCGATGGCTTTTTGCGACGCTGGTCAATTTCACAAGCGTTGACATAACGTCGTACAGAGCATGAAATGCCAGGCCAGTAGAAGCGGTGGCGCACACGGTCATATGTGCGAGAGACATCAAGGTGACCGGCGGTTGGCGCGTCATGGAGCTCGCGTAGGACTGTGGAGCGCAGGTGCTTTGGTATTACCAGAAGTAGGTCGTGACCGTTGGGCGATAAATTACGCTGAAATAAGGTATGGTCCTTTAAGGTAAACATGCGAACAGAAGCGTCTTGCGGTGAAGATTCGAGCTGTTGTATTAGGTGGCTGATATCCGGATCGCAACGCTGCTCGTCCCTGAGATGAAGCAGCTGGGAGATGGAAAGGACGCAACCCACATAATCAGTACTCGTAGCATCGCAGTCGGCCACAGGGTAGCGTGACAGACTATCCACATCTTTGTGCAGTTTTCCTGATTTATACACTACGGTGTAAGAATACTCCTGGAGGCGGAGTGCCCAGCGGGCGAGACGACCTGAGGGATCTTTGAGGGAGGCGAGCCAGCAAAAAGTGTGGTGGTCGGTGAGAACTATAACTGGCCGGCCGTATAAGTAAGGGCGAAATTTCGCGACTGCCCACACAAGCGCTAGGCATTCGCGCTCTGTGATGGAATAATTACGCTCCGAGGGGGACAGCAGCCTGCTGGCATAAGCTATCACGCGATGCTGCCCACGTTGTCACTGAGTCAACACAGCGCCTATTCCGTAACCGCTGGCATCGGTGCGGGCTTCGGTCGGTGCCGTAGGGTCGAAGTGAGCCAGCACAGGAGAAGAAGTGAGCAATGTGGCCAGGTCCGAGAATGCTGCTGCTTGCGAGGGACCCCAGGTAAACGTCTCATCTGGTTTGAGTATATCTGTTAGGGGCCGAGCGATTTCGGCGAAGTTCTTGATGAACCGCCGAAAATAGGAGCAGAGCCCCACAAAGCTGCGGACATCTTTGGCAGTTTTTGGCACAAGAAAGTCCTTCACAGCTCGAACTTTTTCTGGGTCAGGCTGTACGTTGTAAGCGTCAAAAATATGTCCAAGTATTGTAATGCGACGGCGACCAAACCGGCACTTGGATGAATTCAGCTGAAGGCCGGCGAGACGGAAGACATCAAGAATTTTGGCAGTCTCTCAAGGTGTGCTTCAAAAGTGGAAACAAACACGATCACGTCATCTAGATAACAAAGACACGTAGACCACTTAAATCCATGGAGCAGGGAGTCCATCATTCATTCAAAGGTGGCAGGGCCTTACATAGGCTGAAAGGCATGACTCTGAATTGGTAGAGGCCATCGGGTGTTACAAAAGCCGTCTTCTCTCGGTTTATGGGGTCCACAGCAATCTGCCAATAACCAGAACAAAGATCGATGGAAGAAAAGTAGGCGGTACCATGGAGGCAATCAAGGGCGTCGTCAATGCGGGGCAGAGGGTATGCGTCTTTCTTGGTGATGTTGTTAAGGTGGCGATAGTCCACACAAATTCGCCACGATCCGTCCTTCTTTTCA